CCTTTCCTTATGCGACCCGCCTAGTAAATCTGAACCTCTTTCCTTTGAGTTACAGGCAACTTCGCGGAGATCTCTTGCAAGCCTTCCGCATTGTAAAGGGGTTGGATTGCAGGCTGGCCTTCGAGGACTTTTTTGAATTTGCTTCCACGACCAACCTCCGAGGTCACCCGTTAAAACTGCGCACTCAGCAGGCACGGCTGGATGTGCGGAAGTTCTCCTTCTCGGTTCGGGTGGTCAAACCGTGGAATGAGCTTCCCGTAGATGTTGTGATGTCACCATCTATACAAAGTTTTAAGAAGAATCTGGACATATTTATGTTCCGAAATGACCAAGAGCGATGAGAAGTCGAGCTCACCCCCTGTAACTCCTTCTCATTTTGTCCCACCATTATGGGCGTGTTCGAACTATTTCAGCCCAGAACATCTATCTGTACACCACACATTTTTTACGTTGCAAATAGGGTACTCAAAGGCTTACGCCTATTTCCCTCAATAAACTGAACTGAACTGAACTGAACTGAACTCGCGTCAGGAAACCCTGGTGGACGAGACAACGCTGCACCTGTTACGTACGACATCCTCTTCTGAGAAAATTTCAAAACATTTTTTGTAAATCAGTACAAACTACAACTACTGATCACTCTAGTACTAAAGATTTCAAACTTCTCATGAATACCATGGTATTCAGCGGAAGGTTAGTGAGCTCTGAATTCTGGGGGCAGCTGGTATGACAAACGCTTTTCTTTATTCCATCCCTTTAGGCCTCATATCTCGTCCGCCTTGGAGGGCGAAATATGGACAAGTTTATCAAATGCATATGCCATGCGGTTTTTGACGATGAAACCGCTATTAATGTCCATTTTAGGAGGCTTAAAAATAAGGTCGCCCTGTGCAGTTCAAAATTGTACGATCTGATCGCTTGCGAGTTATTGCATATCATCCTAAAGCTCCTCCGCACAGGCATTTATATTAAGTTGTACAAAGGCGACCGCCCAGGCCTATACGAATTGGAGGCCGCCCTTACAAAGCGCCCCAAAAGGTCTCTGTATGCGGTAGGTAAACGAAACAAAAAGTCCGACTGCTTCTGAAGTAAATAGTATCCCATGTGCATACATAGCTTACATATATCTAACTTTCAGAAAAGGTACCTAGACCCTCAACATCAACACCGATACGCGAGGACGTCGGGAAAATTGAACGTTACCGTACCGGATATTATATTTTTAAAAAGATGTTACCTACTTTACTATATTTTTGTACTAAAACAATTCAAAAATACCTATTACTTATCTTAACGGTACTTATTGGTTCGGTTTTGCGTTCAAAGTCCTCGGCTGCAGCCAATACACGAAAAAAAGGTACATGCACATCGGGACCGGTAGTGAAGGTAATGCATGGGATGTCATATGACAGTTCGACCATCGATTTCGATGATGTCCACCGTGCGCCCCACAGCTGCAGCAGCGGTGGGAGCAGGGACGGTGACTTACGCAGGGGTTTATAGTGCCGGTAGACTTGCGCTGCATCTACCTTCACTCTCTCCTCCTCCCTCGCCCGAGCCCGGTGTCAAGACAGAGTCAAGAAGACCGGAGACGAGGGAGGCCGCAGGTGGATGGCTCAGACGGATCCTCACCTTGGCGTCCCACCACACCCCCTGGTCCACACAACAAATAACCAGGATTTCAACCAACACAACCGAGATTGGAGGCTGGCACGGCCGAAGCCGCACTTAGGCGTACCGCCGACGCCTGGCTCGGATCCCACACTGTGGTGGGAGTGCCATAAAGGCCACATTAAGAAGGAGCCATTGCAGCTTGACTCTCAGACCCCCACCAGTCGAGGAGGAGGTCCAAGTTATCCCGTCAGTTGGCAACCTTCCAAGCCACGGCTTTTAGCACACTGTGATAGCTTCAAGCGCGTCAGATTGTTTATAGTGAGGAGAAGTGCGCTGAGTCGTCGACCTCACTCTCCCTTCCCATTCTCAAACCGCAGCCGCTGTCCGAGCCGGTCAGCAGACTGGAGTGGGAAATGGGCGCGGTGGCTGGCATGATCGACTGACCATGCCTGCGCGCGCCACGAGCACGACCTGGCCCCCCATACACACAAATACCAGGATTTCACACAACGGGGGTTGAACGGCGTGTCTCTCACTTGAGTATACTCGGATTCTCACTAACCGCCAGGATTGTTTATTCGAGGTTGTCCACTCTAGCACCTTGGCTCAAATGCATGACCAGGATGCAGCGGTGGCAAATTGGTTCAAAGGGGGTTCACTGTCGTCACAGTGCCGTTATTGAGCTTTTGGGGATTCTAGAAGACAGTTGGTGTGTCAGACCTCAGCTCCCCGTTCTGTTGGAGCACTGCTGCTAGTCCGCGACTGCTTATTCGTCAGACCTTGGAAGAAGGCCGTTCTACTACCACTCACCCAGTGAACGCGTTAGGTAGCCTGTGGATAGGCCAGGAGGCAGACTTGTATTCAGCACTCAAAATCTACGCGCTGCTCACTGTGCGGATGCACTCTACGCGCTGTATGAAGGCTGCGTGCAGTAGTCAAATCTATTACTTGAAACGACAGAGCACATATACAGCTCGCCCAGTGAACGTCTCTGCCTCTTTACTATTGGAAGGTCAGGCTAATAAAGCACTTGTTCAAGCGATCGTGCCTCCTCCGCGAAACAGCAACGAAGCAGCCCTGATACATTATCAATTTGATATTGCAAGTTCTCAACTGACGTGGGTGCGGTTGGATGGCGCCGGTTCAAGCTCAATCCGACTCCATCTAGCCAATCACGACTCCGAGACTAGAAACGCGTACACGTTGGTTATTATATGAGTCATGAGCGCTTTATCGAGACGAAGTTCGCCAGTGTCTCGTCACTTCTGTTACGATTGTCTGCAGTAAGGCGGGTTGTAGCAGAAAGTGAACTGACCCACTCTTTCCGCATCTCTGTGACCACCCCTTCGGTGAGTTGGTCTAGTAGGCTGTCGGCGGTGCGTGACCCCTAACACTCACTCGGAGCTCGGTTGCTTTAAAAAGCCAATGGATCGGCGTGCGACCCCGCATCAGTTATCGACTTCCTCTACCAATTAGGGTTAACATTTCACCAGATTAACAAATAATAAGTCGAAACCTCGAAGTAGCTCCCTTTAGGAAACAGTTGATTTGTTTTGATTAGATGGTAGTATAATGAAAGCTACTAGAATGCGCTCGACGTACAGACAGACAAATAGGACATTTGGATCCAATGATTCCATCTAACTTCATCAAACAATTTGCTAAGATTGATGACATTTGAACGAAACTATTTCCGGCCAAACGCAAAGGGTGGGCAGCAGTTATGCACTGGCACGTGGAATAACGTACGCTGGGACACAAGACAGGGCCCCCCATTTGTTATTGGATACAAAGGTTCCAACCACACAATACCGACCGAACTTTACCTCCTTCTGTTCTGGGGTTCCGAGTTCAAAGAACTTCTGAATGACGTAATTGCCGAACACGTCCACCATAAGGTTATACGACTGAGGCAAAATTTCCCGGAAGACAGCCATTTTGTCAACCGCACTGGCTTGCTCCAACTTCTGCTGGATGAATCGAGAGCCGTACTGATCTTGGGCGAATTCAACGATGTGATTTGTGAGATCCCGCAGGGTCAGGGATGGTAACCGGGCAAACCTGTAATCCTCTAAGAGTACACGTCAAATATTTATTTGGCGTGCATAGTGTTACAACCCTTTTGGTCTTTCCCACTTTGTCTCGACAAGTTGATATCAAAAGTATATCGACAAAGTGGCCCTGTCGATATGGACGCTACATCTTGTCGATATGGACTGCTATTAGTTCAATAGATTGATGAGGCCCGTTCGTCCATTCATGAAACCAGGTTGCCCCACATCAAGCATACCGTCTTCTACTGGGTGTCCCATTAATCCTGTTCTTATGGCCTTCACAATTCGATGGCAAATACCTGCAGGACTCCTTGGCTTGTGGCGACATGGCGAGGCCACCCCACTCTGACTTTTGACCTATATCGACTTGCTACTGATCACCCTGTGAAATCGATCGCGTAGGCTAACTGCTGCCTGTCACTTGTTTCAGGGAACCGAACCAGATGTTGAAACCTCGGCAGTTTGGAGATGAGTGGATGGGGATGAACGGCATGGTCAAAGGCTGATATTTCAACAGAAGTGCCCGCGATAGACGTGGTTGGCGAGCTTTATGAGATTACGTCCACACATCGAAAATATCTTCGGGCCATAATCCCCTATGGACGGAACCCCTTATGGCGATTGACCTTTAAACATGTAATTTTGTAAGAATATTTGATTCCGTAAGAGGCTAACACGTTGACTACCCTTTTGGCCAATAGGACATGTGGGAGCAGACGGAGAGCCCCCTGCCGTAAACTCGTACAAGTATGCAAGAGTTATTTATAGTCGCTCCTCCCTCCAAGTTGCCTCTCAAGCTGTTACAACGGCTACTTTGCCGCTCTATTCAGTGCTAGTTACTACGGGCAATGATGTGAAGATGACTGACATTTCATGACGTCGAGACGATCGGACGCTGATACCTTAGGTGGGCCACCCATGTGTTTAGTTGGACATAAGGGGCCTCGTATTACTTGTCCTAACGAACTGCGTAGCTCACGGCGGACTCTTGGATGACCAATCGGCATGGAAGAGGTGCTCACTCCGAATACTTTCGTGAATCTCAGTGAAGGATACTGATGGGCACATAGCAGAGCAACGGAAAGAATACTAGCTAGAGACCGAACTGTTTTTCGGTTATCAACTAGTTTCAGTCATTACTAAACAGCTGAGGCAGTTTAAGAAATGAGATATTGGCACGGAAGCAAGCAGAGCGAAAGAGTCGGATAAAAAAGAAACAGTTTTGTTTCAACTACTGGAACAAAAAACGATTCTTGGTTTGGTAATATAATCGAATCTGCGCAGGTAAGTTTGAAAATGTACAAAAAAATTGGAACCCAGAATACTTCCGGCCTAGACGAGTCCAAGGTCGAAGGCCTGCTTGACAAAGTCGACATTCTCAACGATAGCACCGCTGACCGAGGCGTTCCACCTCCGGCATTCATCTACAGATGGAAAGCAAAACCAGGGGTATGGTAATTCGTATAAATTCTGGATAATCTCTATTGCTATCGGTCGACGACTGGACAATGACCACAGTCGCCACTGCACGGGAAACCCCTGGATGAGAAGCCAATGAGGTAAACTAGTCTAATGTGCATCTAGCTAAATGTAACCATGCGACCGGGGTTGCCGAGTTTTCCACAATTAAGTCAGATGGACTTGTGCACTCCGTCAAATTCATAAGTTGAGGCAGACAGTGGAAACGAGAATCGGCTAATGGCTGTATTTACGTGTACTTTCCCAACGCCGGCTCACCTAAAACTAGTAGACACAGATTGGGAAGTCAAAAAATAAGTAAGGTAAGCGTCGAAAATCTACTTGAGAAAGTGCTCTTCCATATTCAGTGCGCTATGTGCTTCAAGTCAGAAAGAGTTCTTAAAACTTTTACATTGCTCGAACTGCAATCAACCTGCCGGCGACCGTCCGTCTGTACTACGTTAAGAAAAAGTACTGAGCAAGCAGCTGTCTCCGTGAGTGGCGCTGTTTTGTTTTCCAATGTTCGTCTCCACGCAAGAAAACAGCTACAAGATTTTGTTGTGCATAGTATTTGTTGAAGTAATTTGGAGAGTAGACTCTCCTGTGCAGCAGATAGTCCACCAATCTTGCCTCTAACTACTTATCAGGCTTTTGTGATACGTACATTACGAATTAAACCTTCCTGTATGCTTCTGCCCGATGAAAGCTGAACAGAAGCCACCTATTGAACATGGCTATCTGTTGTCGTCTGGGTTTCTCAAGTGGTGTTTACGAGACCGTTGGCTTAGTGGGGGACCTTTACAGGGAATCAACAAGCCTGCTGTGGTTTATATTAAAATGTGGATTTCAGCTCTTGGCGCACGTTTAAGATTTTCAGGACATGGACTAAAATAAGACCTATGAATTACGTGAGCCTGGTAGTCATCTGGTGAATTCTAGGTGAATTACTTAGGAAATCCTGCTTGGGTAGTCAACTTACTGTATCAGATTTGGTGGATTCCAGGCGTTGCAGTAGGTTGGGCGGGTAAACTTGACCCAAATGTGATTAAACTCGAGTCGTCCGGCGGGGCCTCGCAACTCAAGTGGTTAGAGCGTTGGCTGTACTAAAACCTTCTCCTTACTGCGTGGGTTCGAATCCCACCGAGGCGCCGAGTTTTTCACAGTTGGGTCAATATGAATTATTCAAAATCTGCCAAAATATCTGTGAATACCTATAAAACAAAACCGTTGTTACAAACTACCGTTCGTGTCTCAATGGCCGTTCAACCACAACACCCTGAGGCGCGCGATGAAAAAGGCAAAAAAAGAGGAAGGCATTTAAGAGGGGAGCAGGAAGGCAACTTGCCGATGACAAGGTTAATGGAGACTATTCTGGCATCCTGGCACAATTGGCTCAGTCGCTCTGACGGGACAGAGGAGGAGAGGCGCATAATCTCCATAAGAGAGGAAGTGGCCAGACGGTGACGAAGAGCAGTCGAAGCCTTCATAGCGGGTCTGATTTGGACGTTTAAGGTGATAGCTTGTCGACGGTTAGACGCCATGAAAGCGCTCAGTTGGATCTTTCGGGTCTGCATTTGGGCGAGGAGGCAAAAATGAGGCAAGACGAAACAGGTAAGAAGCAACAGAATAGAGTTATAAGGGATGGTGGCCGCAGCAGCCCTCCCCCTCTCCCCCCCCCCACAGAGTCTAATACCTCACAGTCGACGGGACACCTGAAGCTCGACTTACCTCTGTCATGCCAAAACGATGAGACATGCTGGTCATTCAAAAATGCCCTTCACCTCCCCCCGTTTCAACAGAAATGATAACTTATATTTGCCGGGGTAGGTAGTGGAAATAAGAAGCTTTTTACTGTGGTACAGGTGGCCTTGCGCCAAATTCCAAAGAGACAAGTGTTAGGACTGGTATTAAGGCTATAGCATGAGAACAGGCACCCTTCATGAGACTTAGCGCAAGGCTACCTGTTCCCCTGTTTTGTCTCTGCCCCGCTACCTGACCCAACACCACTGTCCAATTAAGGACTGAATTTTAACTAGGTCACAGCCACTTTGTGCCGATAGTTCGGACGAGTAGCAGATATTCACCCGAGGCATATGGGGCTGTGCACAACATACCGACCTTAGATCAACTTGATTTAAACGAATGCTAAAGGACAAGAGAGTCCACGTTCAATCGGTGCTTAGTCTGCGCAACCGCGAAACATCGACGAAGTGCATCAGAGGTGTTGGTGGAGACGTCCCTTTGGATAGAGAAAACACAAAAAGTCCCTACAGCAAGCCGCTTCATGCAACGGGTACCTGGCGTACAAAGGATTAGCAGGGTTTTTGACCGACCGGAGTGTTGCAGTCCGCACGCGTTAGTTGGACTTCCTGGGGACCGGTAGAGCTGAGAGGGGTAATTCAAGAAACGTCATGCGGTGTGTCAGAACCATCGGCATCACTCGCATATGGGTGAGCAATCGACTTAAAAGCTACCTAAACTCTAGAATTGCCTTTTACAACGATTGCCACATAAGGAGCCAACGGCACGAATATCTCCAATAGACTGTAGGACGATGGTTTGGTCGGCGTTACGGCAGTCTACCACGAAAGAAGAAGGATAATATTCAACAACAAAAGTTTCCTTCAAAACTCAACCTTCTCCTCCATATAATTAGCCAAGCAGACAGCCGCGGACTCGGAATGAGTCTGTAGAACTCGGGAATGCAGATAATCACCGGCGTGATTGACTAGCTGAACGAAACTTCCGGCAGTAATCCCTACCGTTTATTTGACCAGTGCACTTGCGATTGAAGTCGAGGGGAGGCGAAAAGAGGTACGAACAGCTTCACCCATGCACGTCGACATCTGTCGCAGCTAAAACGACGAGGGACGCTTTCACAACGGCCGACAATTGTTCATGCCCTGTGCATACATGAGGAAGCACTATTCACTGCCGGGGAATTACTAATCGACGAGGTCCACCGTCCTACTAAAAATACAGCCCAATAAACTGACAACAGACTGCGCCCGATTACCTATACATACAGTATCCGTAGAGACTGGGGCCATGGATGCTGTTTCCTCCTATCACTTCGGTGACCTCATTGTCTACCACGACCCTGCCTCTGGACCCCATCAGCCCGTTGGAAATCAACCTACATTACCACCACCGACAGCGATGATTGTCGGATGCAGACAGAAAGGACTGCAAGTACAGTAGTTGCCGTAACTCAAGAAGTGTTAACCGAAGTTCTGAGGCTTGCTTTCGAGTAGAAAATATTACTCATGTGGGGTTGTAAATGTGATGGCGTCAGAGGGATAACCGTGTAATATGCATAAACTGCCGACACGCGGTCAGTAATATACAAGCATTGCATGACTAATCGCATGGACAGCACAGATGCCAGCGGAAAGCTGAGACACGTGCGTCACCGATATAATGCAGCTTCGTGGTACACATCCGGGCGGTTCGGCGCATCTGTGGGTTTCCCATCCTTCACCATGTGCCAGCTGGTATATACTTCTGTTTCGAAATTTCAGCCTTTTAATTGCAGAAATCAATGTGCTGACTTGGAGTAAAAAGTCCCCCCAGGGAAAATCTTTCCAGGTTCGGTTAAAGTGTGCATGAATGTTCTGGTCGAAATTTCCGAAAACGGCAAATTCCTACCCCCGGGTTACAATACCCTAATAAAAACCCAGTAGGTGACAGAAGGGCCGGTTGCCAATCTTCCCACCTCTTAACTAGAAGACTGGCTTGTAAAACTGCGAGTCGATGGGGTAGAAAGCTCTGGCGCTTGTCAACTGCGTCGTCTCATTATGACCATCAACTAAGAGCCTCGCCGGCCAGCTGGTAGCTCCAGTGACATAGGGAATCCAGGTTGTGGAGTTACTTTCTTAGGAATGGGGCGTCAACAAAGCGGACGCATTTGCACAACTGAAACTGGCCCGAGGGCACAACTACTTCGTGGTCACGCCAGCCACCCACCAAATGTATATGGCAACGGACCATTATAAAGGACTGCAAAACAACTACTAAAAAGGCCACGAAACAAGAGTTTAGCGGTGGAAAGGCAGGGCCAATAGTCTGGACGTACTGGTTGACTGACCGATGTCCCTTCTGCAGTGAGAACAAGACCAACAAAGTGGGGCAGCAGGCTTTGTAGTCTGGTCTGCAGGAAGAGATCTGACAACGTCGGTTCGCATCCTCTGCCAATGTGGGTATGGTACCACCCGACAAGCCGTACAGGCTCCCCTGACTCGCCGTTCATCATCTCCTACAGCACGGAGAAGGAATACAACATGAGAGAAGGGGGGTGCCTTCAGTGGCTGTAACAGTCGCAGCGGTGGGGACTGAGGAAGTAGAAAATGGGGAGTCCTCCTAGCTATAAAATGACGCACATTATGCAGTCACAGTAAAGATGGACAATTGGGTGGCCACGGCTACGGGAGAAAAGTAAGCAATGGTAAGGTTGGGATTTTCGCTGCAAAATCCTCATAATCAACCAGACATTCGGCGGTCCCAAAAGGTGTCTGGAGATACGGACGCAGGCACAGCCACGACTTCCCTTCCCGAGCCCAGAGGAAAGAGGGCGAACCAGAAAGCTTTCATGAAGTCTGGCATATGGTAGGGCAAGTGTAGCGGGCTACAAGGCAGACTCTTCCTGTTGAAGTATGCGCCAGGCAGGAATTGAGGATGGGGGGAGGACTTGTCAAAAATCATTGAACAACTATGGCTATGCAAACTCCTGCATGTTGCATATCGGCTACTGTTGTTTTCCACAAGAGACAACTTATTTGAGTACACCCAGTGGAGCAGATGATAAATATGCAAATTATTGCACTGGCTGCAGAGGCGAAATGGCTTGCACTCGCGGGACGGAACCTACCATAACGACTTTTGAGCAATCTCTACGCTAGCTGGGTTTGCGAGACGGGCTTGTCATGCAGTATTAAGATTGCCGGTGCAGAAAGGGGTCATCTCTACCACCGTGATATTACTGGCTCCCTCAATGGCTGACCAGAATTCTCCAGTAACAGGTGTCTTGGCTCAGCATCCCCGTTATTTATCAAATTCATGGCAACCGCGATGTATCCCCTGGCTCTGGAGGTTAGCGGCATGCTGAAAATCGGAAGGAGCTTAAAGTCGGAATCAAAACCTTCAAAGTTGTGAAGCTGCTGCAGTTACAAGCTAGAATAGCAGAACGGAATTCGATGGGTCTCTGTGGCGAGCTGTTAATAACTACGTGGTGAGAAACCATCGCCTCAATACCGAGAGGCATGGCGACCATGTTATGGTGAATCATCTGATAATCACAAATACACACACCTGCCCTAAACAGCCTGGCGGACAGCTGGTGGCCTGGGACAAAAACAATCACAGGCGTTCTCCAGAAGCGCTTCCACTAGTACCGCAAAGTAGGATCCAGAATAAATGTGGTTTTCGATTGCGAGTGGCTGTGTTAACTAACATCCTTGATCAACGAGACCCTCGAATAAGGCTCCTACTGTCACCAACTTACCGTTATCTACAGATTGGGTAGCTGTCCTTGATTCCGTTCGTCGGCCCAGTAGCAACCCACTAAGGGCGCTACAACTGACTCAAGCTTAAAATCACACAACAAGAACCAACGTTCGGGAAGATGGTGGGGTAGTTTCTTTGGTGGCAGCTTCGACGTCGATCTGACCTGTCATTCAGCAAAAAACACGTCAACGCCACAATTAGGTTCTCCACACGTGTGAGCAAACGACCCCGGCGTCACAATGGGATGTGATTCACGCTTGATTAAGTTAGTTTGACTGCGCCAATAACGTGGCAGTAGTGGGCCGCTCCTCTGCAGACATCCGGCTGGTTACGTCTCATGGAGGCGGAAAGACAGTTGAAGTGGGCCTGAAAGTAAAGACCTTCAAGCCGATTACTTGAAGCGTTACATTCGGAGATATCAATGTCAAACCAAAAGACAGTTTATGCACTCTCGAGTTACATTTTTGACAAAAACCCTTGAGCATTTGACCACCAAAGCAGGCTCGACATCGCATTCGTTTACTGGAATGAGAGCGAGGTTAGCCAGACGACCGAACCGTGAGTGCACGAGAAGCCTTTCAAGACAACGCTTGCATGTGGGTGTGAAACAGCCATACAAGCATAAAATATGGGGCCAATCTAAAATGTCAAACCTGTGGCGCTAGAAATCCAGTCTTTGAAATGGCCTCTTAGATCGCGCATCCAACGCGAGGCTATATCACGAATTGCGAATATAGCCGGTCAACGAAGACCTCTTACAGGTTGACGCAGAATGCCAGCTCACGTACCGCGTCGAACTCGATACGAAACCACCCTGGACGTTAGCTCATCCAAGCCCATCCAAGCGTAAATAGGTAATAGCACTGACGTCCACAGCTCTACCTGCTAAGTTCTTCCTAGTGCTTCGAATATACATACAATAGACGTGCCATCCCAGAAGATGATGATGGAAATTTCAAAATATGTTTCGATTCGAAAAGATAGCTTAGGAAGGGTTGTGCTATCTGTGATAATGCGGCACAGTCAAACCAGAATGCTGATTTTCGAATGGGCTCCTTTTCAGCCGTCTGCAAAAACTACACTTTGCAAAACCTGACTATTTAAGCAGTATGCATTTTCCGCCCAGACTTTAGATGTCATTGTGAATCCAAATATATTACATCGAAAGCATGCACAAAAATATTCCTTCTTGCACTAACGTGATAGCGAACTGCATCTTTTCCAAATTTTCTACTTGAAGAGAATGCATCCATAGGTTTTAAAAACGTTTCTAATTATGATATTTTAAGACGTGAAATACCCAATCATATAGCACATAATTAGCACGTTTAACAATTCTACTTATAAGGTATACGACCTGGTCCACATTGATTGCGTAATCTTATGATTTCTACAAGATGCTTTCCAAACAATGTAGAGATATGTATAATATTCTTTTGACGGAATGTTTATAGCATTTAGGTTGGAAACCCTGAATGAAAGTGTAACGGCAGGTAGGGCATAAACGTATTTGGGAATTGAAAAAATCTTTAAAAACCGTATGATGCTTTCTCCTTGAGCATAGAATTCGAAAGGGACATAATTTGCCACCAAAGGAGTAAGGGGGAGAATACTTTTTGCACTTCCTCCATAAAATATAACAGGATTTATACGTGCATCGAAAATAAACTATAAAATGTCATATTGCCTAAGTAGTCACTTTTGCAGGATGTAGTTTTCGTGGACGGCCGGAAAGAAGCTCATTCAGATGCCGGCATTCTGGCGCGACTAAAATATCTTAGGATTATGCTGCACGATAATTAATATGACAACCCTACTTAAGTAATCATTTTGAGTCAAAAACATATGCCAGGATTTCGGTCAAGACTTCATGAAATAGCATACCTACTGTACTTCATGGAAAGACTTCCTTGTGAGCCAAGCTCCTGGACCATAGTTAATTGTCTTTGAAGACTAATAAGCGCCAGCCACATGTTTTCTGTTTCTCACTGTAGATATCAGTTTCCGCCTACGTATGCAGAGCACATTAAACGAGGTAAGAGGTTGTTGGCCATCAAAATCACCCATGCTGGGTTTCCGCAGTAAAATAGGAACGAATTTGAAATGACGACGAATCAATACAGTGAGCAACAAGAGAGCGAGTGTACGACTGCGATGCTTCAATGACTGCCCACGTCAACAAAGGTTATAGGGGTCAAGGAGGTACATACAGTTATGTAAGTTATTCAAGCTGCTTACTTTTCCAAGCTCAAGAGCTTTAGCCCAACTGGTGGGGTCTTTGTTGGTGGCTTCCGATGGAAGGTGACCGAGGACGCGTACAGACCCTGGCTCTAACTGCGCGGTGAGATATATATGAGCCACAGATTACCTGCCCAAAAAGGAGACCACACACTTCCTTATCTGGATCGAGGTAAGTCTGCACAAGCATCGCGTGATAGGCGGATGGTTCGACTACAACGCCCGGTACAGAGGACATTGGTAAGTGATGTCCTTCCAAAAAACTCTGAAAGTATCGAAAGGTGGGAGGGATATTAGAAACTGGGCATGAATAAGACGGTCTAGTAGTTGAGGTCAGTTATCAACACGCCCACTACAAGTTTTGCAGAATATCAGCTTAACAAGGAAGGATCGACATAGCAAACGCACCTCTAACGTCTGGTTACACTCGCAGTGTTTAGCATGGTCCTCTGTCAAACAGAGTGATCTCAGAGAAAAGCAGGCAGCGTCCATTGGATGGGTTTAATGGGCCAAAGGTACCCCGTATACTGATTAAAATATTACGTCAAGCTGAATGGCTGGCTAAGAAAGCCGCCTCCGGTATACTTGGCTTTCCAAGCAATTCAAACGCAGGTATCAAACGCAGTGTCCCCAATCAGGCATTTTGAGTATTCAGCGTGAAATCCACACGTCTGCCACCGATCTGCGGTTTCGTGTCTTTTCAGTCGTAATCGGGAATCTTTCGTGCACATGGCAGAGGCACAAACAGATCTGTTCGCATTTTAAGACGGGACACGGGCAGTTCGGCAGAGGATACGATCCTAGTATGGAGCCAGCGATATTGTGATCGACTATGCACAGCCACGAGCATTTGGGCACGGGTCCTATACCAGCAGACTTAAATTGACAACCAGGCAAATTTAAATAAATTCAAGCCCGCGTTCAGATTGGCGTTCAAAATTGTCCGAGTCTTCTTTGACAGCTTAGATGATATTTCCTTCTTGTCCGTCCTACGGGTGGAATCCGTGATTTTGGCAAATCGGCTGATCACTCTCTTTCGTTAATGTTTACAACTCTTACTTGTAGGGTGGCACGCCTCAGGTATAACCCCATCCGTCGTGCTATTCTTGATAAGGCGGACAAAGGACGCGCCACAGTTGTACTGGACAGGATAGACTACCTTCAAAAAGCCAAAGGTTTACTGGAGGACCGACAGTTCTATGTCCCATGTGCAACGAACCCTTTAAAGGTGCTGACACGCGAAATTAATGCTACGTTGTCGGCCTTGGAGAACTCGGGTGCAATAACACCGACCGACAGACGCATGGCGAGACCCCAAGATACGGCTTTGGCCCGATTCTATGGCCTCCCTAAGGTGCACAAAGACGACGCTCCTCTCCGACCCATCGTGTCGCTCAAAGGGACTCCAACGTACGGACTGGCTAAGTAGCTGTTCCGGCGTCTCAAGTTCCTGACCGCTGAGTCAGACACCACGGTCTCTTCGTCAGCACAATTCCTGGAGAAACTCAAAGGAGTAAGCATCCATCCAAAGGAGGTCATGGCATCTTTTGATGTTACATCCCTTTTTACTTCTATTTCCCAGGACCTGGCGATCGAGACAATTGAGCTGCTACTACAAAGCAAATACGATGAAACGGAGAACCGTCTTGGACACGCCCAAGTCCTTCAGCTCCCGAAGTTCCGTCTCAGGACGTAATTCACGTTCGACGCGACAATCTACGAACAGGTGAAGGGTACACCAATGGGTTCGCCGATTTCGGGATTCATCGCCGAGGCAGTCCTGGAACGGTTAAAGTTGCTGGTCTTCCAACACCACAGGGCGAAATTCTGGGCACGGTATGTGGATGATACCTTCGTCGTCATCGAACGGGATCAGGTGTTGACATTCCATGAACATCTCAACGCCGTCTTCCCGGACATACAATTTACGATGGAGGAGGAAGAGAACAACCAGCTGGCCTTCCTGGATGTCCTCGTATGCCGCAAGAATTGCGGTGGACTAACAACCAAAGTGTTCAGGAAAGCGACAAATACGATGCAAGTACTGAACTTCAACAGCAACCACCCAATCAGCCACAAACGCAATTGTGTAAGAGCGCTCTATTGGCGTGTCGAAACGCACTGCAGTGAGCCGGATGACGAGACAGCAGAACTACAATACCTCCGACGGGTCTTCAAAGCCACTGGCTACCCGCGCAATTTCGTCAACCGGTGCATACCCAAAAGGGCCGAAAGGCCTAACCGCATGGACACAAAATTTGGGCGTGCACTTCCGTATGCCAAGAACGTTTCGGAAGCTGTCGGCCGCCTTCTCGCACCACTTGGGGTTGGAATTGCACACAGACCGCAGGCAACCATCGGGCGTCCGGTAATGAAAACGAAAAACCCGCTGCCACGACAAAAAACGTTTAGAGTCGTTTATCGGATCTGGTGCAGTTGCGAACAAAGCAACTACGTCGGAGAAACCGAAAGACAGCTCCGGACGCAAATAGCCGAACAAGCTGCAGCGGTGAGGAGAAATGACGCCAGATCTCAAGTTGCAGCTCATTCGACGAGATCCGGGTCACACATTCAAATTTAACAAGACCGAAATTCTCGCTAGAGGTGACAACCGCGTGAGCCGCGAACTGCTTGAATCATGGTTCACTGTCCCCCGTTCATTAACAAGTGCAACGACCTTCCCGTTCCATACTCGGAACTGAGACTTCACCTAGGCGGAGTAATTAGCCACGCGGGGTGCACACAGGTGAACACTTTTCCCAATGCCACGGTCGGTGAGTCAGATGGTCGAGCAATCATCACACCAACATCCAACGCACGTGATGAAATTTCAGCAATTTACGACGCAAATGTCGGCCATCAAACAGTCAGCACACCAAGTGCAACGATCTCTGGTGAAGGGGGGAGAGGCACGGTGGCCTGGCAACTGTATCCTATAAATACTGCCGCCCCTTGTGGATGAACCACCCGTATCTGCTTTTGTCTCTGGTGATGGCTTCGAGCAGGAATCTGAAACGTCAGGCGAACAGAGCTCTTGTCCCAGCGATCGTGTCTCCTTCTTCACGACTGCATCCTGGGACTCGTCTCTTCGCTTCTATAGAGGCCCCTCTCATCTCAACACAGTAGAAAAAACCTATGCGGGATGGAAGTATCTTGTCGGCCCATAAACACTTTTTCGGGATTGTGAAAAGTTTGGGAGCAGCATCCATTCGGGAAACCATGACGTCGTCACTGTCCATTCGGCAGCTGCCTCATCCTGACGTATTTGAGACTACCTACTTCCTCAAGCTGACAACTCACAACTCCGAGTAGTGTCTTTCCCTGGTTAGCAATTCAACCCGAAAACCGTTTGATCTTCTCAGCGTTTATGGATGGAACGACCGATGTAGCGGTTTGATTCACCGGCGACATCACAGACTGTAGCCCAACAATGCTTGGAACTCGTAAGGCGATATCGTCAGCGTAAGCTACATCAGTCAACCGGCACATGGGTGTAAATACAATACCGTCAGGACCGTGTAGAGTACTTTAAAGAATCTAGTCAGTGGTGTAGTTGCACAGCATGGGAGACAGGAAACAGCCTTGTCGAACGTTAGATCGAATACCGAACAGTTGAGATTGTTACAGATCACAACTCGCGCAGTGCAGCGACAGTGACTCTGATCATGGCGATTTCTTTTGCCGACGTACTAACTATTCACATTAAATGTCACAGGAAATCACGATTGACAGAATCGAACGTTGGGACGAAATCAACAAGTCAGGCGGCCGTCGGTTGTTGATAGCCATGGTGAAATTCCCCAATGCGTTTCAGTGATTATCTGGTCTGTACATCCACACCAAACTCGAAATCCAGCTTGGTTTGGTCTCGTCCCCGATTAAATGTCAGGCCAGGAAATGTATGTGACAGTGCAGGGAGGACAGTTCAGCATTGCCACATCGAGATTCAAGTCAAAGAGGCCCTTAAGGGAACAATTGGAAGTCGTTAGGACAGTACGGCCATCTCACTCCCATACAACAATAAGAAGATAACGGAGTCTTTTGACTGAGTGCTACAGCTGCGAACATGTTTAAAGCGCTAGTCAGCAGCTGTTGTTGGTGCGTGCATAGAGGTGACAGAAATGTCAGTAAGGTGACCCCTCAGTCGCATGTAAACCGGCCGGTCATTGACTGGCCCGGACGTAAGAATTGCATAATCAGCTTGCTGCACCGTATCTACCGGAATAATTGCGGGGTTGCTGTGCTTTGGAATGAAGTACGGGTTGACACTGAGAGCTTTGGTTCTCGTGCATCTGAGTGGTGGATTCAGGCTTCCGATAAGTAGCAGACACCGACGCTGTACCGATGAAGGCTGTGTGCAATAAGACTGGGTACCAGAGCCCCCGAGCGTTCGTAAATTCTAGCATCAAATACCAAGAGTTAGTTTCCGATTGAGTAGTCCAGTCCGCATACCATACCATTCACCCACACCACTGGACCAGTGTCATAGAGCAAACAGGTCCCCGCTGACCCCGTAGCATAGATAATAATATTTAATCGGGCATTTCATGAAGTTGATGGAAGATTTGGAGCACATAAAGATCCCCAACTGCCACTCCGGTTGTCTGTTCGAAATTTTCTCCTTTAGCGATTTGGCTCAAAAACCTGACCAGGAGGCAGGGGTGCCAAACAAACTTTGTGGAGGTACACGGTGGCCGTGACACAGTGTCGTCGCACGACTTCGTGCCAAAACTCAGATCTTTGTGCCGGTCTGAGACTGCTCATCCGCCAGATACGGGGACCCGCTTATTTCGCAGCTACCCTTCGCCCAAGGTTGTTTCCCTACACGTCACCTATTGACACGCCGGGTAGCCAGCAGATATGCTAACGGGTAATTCGTTAAAGGAAGGCTTACAGGTCTCCACCAAGGCAAATCTTCAAAGTGGCATGCATTACCTCTCGTTTGTATTTATGTTTCTAAACCCCTATTAAACGTGGGAAACCCGTCCAACACTGCCGTTTTTCGCTGCTCTATGTTCATCCTCATCACTATGAAAGTTTGATCTCCGTTGTTAGTTTCGTCGCTTTTTCCAAGGTCCACTATTTTACTTGACTGCTACGTGTCCTGACCTAATCTCACTTTACAGATTTCCGTTCACAACTCCGGCTCTTTGTCTGATCCCATAACATTAAAGTACCATCGGTTCTTGATTAGGTCCGACTTTTTAACTCTGACTGAAGGACTGACTCGTAGACAGATTGCGGCGAAAGACCTGTAACGTTCACGCTTGATGGAATGATCAGTTGGTCAGTTTTCTAATCTTCTGTTGCTTTCTGTAGAGCAGGGGTGTTGGAACTCCCTTTTCTTCCAGTTGACCTGAAGAGATTTAATTACGTTCCCCCACGCTTAGAGTGGGTCTCAGCAAATCAACAGACAGAAGGACATTCTGTGAATTGCATGTTTACGGCTAGCAGACAAACAACGAAAACGAAGCTAGAATTTCGATGTGAAT